AGAGATGGGCCAGCTCGGTGTCCAGGGAGATGAGCTTTACCCATGGGCTGGCAGTGTTGAACGAGGTCCATTTCCCCGTGGCGGGTGGGGGAGGGTGGGGGATGGTGGGGGAGGGTGGGGGAGGGTGGGGGAGGGCGGGGTTCCTCCACCAATGCTCAGCTATCCCAGGCCTGCAGGGCAGCACCAGGTGACAAGCCAGGACATCCTGGGCCCACCTGATGCTAGACTCCAGATGCCACCCCTCCTTCTGTACTGAGGGCCTGGCTCCTTCCCCTCCCTGGAGATTCTGAGGCCATTAGAAAGGTGGGAAGAGTGGAGGAGGTGCTTAAGGGACAGTGTGAGATTCCTTCACTGACTGTCTCCACGGGTACTGTCTCGCCGGGCATGGAAACCCGCCATCCTTTCTAGGTCAATTCAAGCGCGTCTTCCAGGACTAGCCCCATGACGTTTCCGTTCCCCACGCTTGGCGGAAGGTGCCCCAGCCCCCCGGACCCTGGCACCTGATCAGAGGGCCAGGGGAGGCCTTTAACCGGTTGCTTCCCCTCTGGGTGGGGGGACGGGGTGTCCAGGCACCTGTCTGAGAACCCGGTTGCTATAGAAACAACCACCCAAAAGGCAGGATGGTGGGGAGGTTGGCAGGTGAGTTGGGCCCAGACCTTTTTCAGAGACAGGTTTTTTTTGCTTTGTTTTTTGGTGGAGAAACACATCTTGTATTTCTCATTCATATTCATCGTGGGCAGTCTCCACCCCACACGTGAGTTTTAATTTTAAATTTCTCCAGGGGAACAACGGAGTCATTTTTAGCTGGCTGGTTTGGGGAGACTTTGAGCGGCCCCTGGAATCCGCAGGAGCCTGCGGGGCTGAGCTGTGTTTGATTTAAAATTGGAAACAGGAGGCAGAAGAGTGGCTTTATATAGCCTGGGAGGTCCAGGAGCCCTGCACTGATTTATGACAGGCCTGCCGAAAGCACATGGAAGCCGAGGTAATATTTATAAATTCCTTCCCCAAGGATGGATGGAATGTTCTGAGCTGCAGTCAGAAAGCACCTTTTTGGGGGATGAAGGGAGGTTAAGTCCAGTTATTCGTGGACTGAAAGGAAAAGGGAACTTGAGCATGGAGGGGCTGCTCCAAGTCTGTTCCGGAAACGCGGGCTGCTCTGCAGGCCTGGACTCCTCGCTCAGGTCCTCAGGGCCCCACTCCCAACCTCCTCCCTCCCCCCACCCCCCGCCCCGTCCTACTCAACGAGGCCAAGCACCTACACCTGGCAATTGCAGTGACTGCACTTTACCAACAAAACGTCTATCTAGGTGTCTGGGGACAGCACAAGTCCTGGCACTGTGGGGAGGGAGAAGGAAAAGAAGATGGAGCGGCGGAGGGGGGGCGGGGGGGGGGAGGAGGCTGAAGACAGACGCAGGTGTGGCCCAGGAGCCCGAGTCCCTGGCCGAGGCCCAGATGTGACAACGGGACACCCGGAGTGGGAGTGGCTGGTGCCCGGCATGGAGGTGGGCACTGTGAAGGGTTCGCCTGGCTGTCAGCAACCGTGAAGGACGTGCACCCACTGCAGTTTGGACACACCGACCAAGGCAGGGGACCCCCAGATTCAGAGAGCGCCACCCTCTGTGTGTCCCTTGGGCTGGCATCCCTGTCCCTAACCTAGCAGCTTGGGAGAGCGGCCAGCCATGTGGCCGAGCTGGCTGATGGCCTTGCTTGAATGAGAAAGGACAACAGAAAACATTAAAAAAAATTGTGTCAGGAAAGTAAAACCCAGGGGGGCACATTCAGCTCTGTGGTCCCCTCAGCCTTGATGCCTGATTCCCATCTGCACGCAGAAGGGAGGCCCGTGTATCACTAACCTGTGTGTGCCGGTCCCCCATGGGATGCACTCCCCCCAGTGCTCTGGGTCACGAGAGCCAAGCTGGAAACTGGAAACAGCAGGCGGTGGTCTGAGGGGCTCTGCTGTCTCTGGGGACGGGGGAGAAACTGTCATCTTGGTTCCAGTCTGCCCAGACCCCTCATCCGCAGCCTGGTTTCTGGGTGTCACCGGCACACCCACGGGAGGGACAGGAGGTCTTTCCAACACCAGCTGCGTTCCTGCCCTGGCCCCAGGGGTTCTCACGACAGGTTCTAAAGCCGGTTAAATGCAGGCAGGGTGTGATGCCAGGAGGCCGACAGAGATGCAGAAAGACACCTCACCCCTTCCAGCTTAAGTGCTGGCAGGCACACAGGTCCCCATACTTCAGGGCACCCACCAGGACAGAGGGGATTGAATGCCAGCTCCCCAGCCAGGCCCACACTGGCAACTGTAGACCCGTGGACACTGTGCAGGGAGACCTGGAACCTCCCCTTCATTACCTCTGCTTCTTTCCCTCCCGCAGCACTGAGCACACGTTCCATGAAAGGTCCCTGGGGATGACGTCAGTGCTTCTTTTGGCAGATGGGACCATGATGCACATCTGAGCCTCTGAGGTGACAACGGGCTTGGCTCTCTGCTCATGGCGCCGGGGCATTCACGTCCATGGCACCTAGATGTTCCGTCCACTCTTACGGGCTTGCTCCCAAGCCTGCACCTGCAGGAGTTCAGCCACCCCCGACTGTTGCGGCTGCGAGAGGATGAGCCCAAAGAGGCCGAGCCTGCAAGGCCCCGCGGTCAGAGCACTGGTTTCTTTTCCTGCACGAAGGGGGCTCTGCAGCTGCCCCGCCGGGGCCAGTTCCCAAACCAGACCCCGGCTTTTCCCTTGGACTGTTCCGACGGGTGGAAATACAGAGTGTTGGTGCTGGAAGGATGATAGCAAGGCTAGCTGTCATTTATTAAGCACCTACTGCATACCAGGCATGTTAAGATGATTTCTGATCCTCACAAGTGCTGGAGGAGGCGCGATTCCCATCGTCAGGTCACGGTGGAGGCCACGGAGCTCTAGGGAGGCTGTGGGTGAGATCAGGGGCACAGACCTGCATCCAACTCCAGCTCTGCCCCTTACCAGCTGTGGGACAGGCTGCTTTCTGAAGCTCTCGGTGTCTTGGCTTCCTCATCTGTAGACGGGGAAGCTGCAATGGGTGGCCCCCCATAGGGTGGTAGTGAGTCACTGCACAGGCAGTGTGCTCACAGCAGGGCCTGGCGCCCAGGAAGGGCTGCCAGAGTGTCAGCTGTCACCATGGGGAGGACGAGTGATTTGGGCCCAGTCGGCAGGGCAGCAATAACTACATTCCCAGTCTGTCCGGCCCCAGAGCCCATGCTCTTCCCTTTACATATGAGGAAACGTGCATGGTGGGGAGGGTGTCAGGAAAGAGGACTTGTCAAGATGGGCCAGCTGCTCTGTGACTGTCCCAGGGCTGGTAGCCCTCTCTGATGACCCCAGGTGTAGTGTCCACCCCACGAAAACACTGAAATAATCTCTGACAAGCCCCTTCGGCCTTGGGGTTATCTGATGCCACCTCTGGGAGCCAGGGTTTAACGCGGGAAGCACTGTCTCTTGCTTTTGCACCACATGGGCCCTCTCCAGCCCTGACTTTCCTCAAACCGCACTTCCCAACAACTCGATCATGAATGTAAGAAATCCATGAACACAGACCACTGTTCCTTCCCCACCATAATCGGCTCAGATCTTAGAAGCTCTACATGGATTTTTAACCACCCTTTGCTGCCAAGTTCTCCATTTTATTTGAAATAAATATTCAAGATTTACCTTGCCTAGACTCCTCTCTGTTCGCTACGCCCATCAATACAAGATTTCACCGCACTTCCAAAAAGCACAAAAAGAGAGATTCCTGCCTCTTTTAAACCCTGGACTTAACAAGGATCATTTCCATTGGAACCAGAGAAAAACAGACGTTTTCTTTATTCCCCGGTGGCCTCTTTCTCCCTTTCAAATTTCCCTCCAAGAAGGTGAATACAAACGTGTTACAACCGACTCCCAGCTTTAAGAGATGAATCACCTCACCGCGGTTTGGCACAGAGACAGAAGGGAACAAGAGAGCGCAGCAGAGTGGGGGGGCTGGGGAAAGGAGGTGGTGTTTCTCAGGAGGCCAGACCCTGGTTGTCAGCCTCCAAGAGTGCCCCTCGCCCCAGGGCCCTGGTCCACAGCAGATGGAGGTGCCGGGTGCGCTTTAGGGATCCCACGTGGAGGGCTCCCAGAGGGCACACCGCACCCTCCCTGGGGCATGAGCGGCCAGTGAGGCTGTGACCGTCCTCCTGCCCTGGTCGGTGCACAGGGACGTCCCTGAGCTTCTGCTCCCGAGGGATGGAACATTTGGGGTTTGCTGGGCTTGGGAGCGGCCTGTGCCATCCTTCAAGGAGAAGGTGGAGAGGTAGGCAGGAACGAGGAGAGGAGATGAAAGGGGGACAGACAGCTGGATCAGGTCAACCAGCGGAGGAGCAGTGCCCGGAGGGGCCGGGGGAACGGAGGCAGGTCCTCCGGCGCCACGCGCGGAGCCCGGACACCCAGGGTGGGGGTGGAGGTGGGTCTGCAGCCGCCCTTGGAAACCAGCAAGCGCACGAACACCTCGTAGCGCACCAGCTCGTCCCCGTCCACGTCCGCCGCTCGGATCATCTCGTCCATTTCCTGGTCGCTCGGCTTCTTGCCCAGCCGGGTCATCACGTGCCGCAGCTCGGCCGTGCCCATCAGGCCGTTGCCGTCCTTGTCGAAGACGCAGAAGGCCTCCCGGATCTGGTCCTTGGCGTCCCTGCCCTTCACCTTCCGGGCCATTAGGCCCAGGAGCTCGGGGAAGCCCACGGTGCTGCTGCCGTCGCGGTCCAGCTTGCCCACCAGGTCCCGGAGTTCAGCCTCAGTGGGGTTCTGGCCCAGCGACCAAAGGACGGTGCCCAGCTCCCGCGTGCTGATGGCGCTGTCTCCGTCCTCATCGAACGGGGAGAGGGCCTCCTTGAACTCGGCCACCTGCACCTCGGTCAGCTGCTCGGCCCTGACCATTGCGGGGAGGCAGTCCAGCACACGGACGTGGCCAGGCGCCGGGAGGTGGCCAGGTGCGGGGCCGGCGGCTGGCGTTCTGGCCCCGGCTTGACTTGCTGGCGCTGAAGGAGGAGCCGGGGTGTCCCTCACCGTGCACGCTACCCGCCCTGCGGTTGCCTGAAGTCCGGGTCCTATTGAAACAGGAGTCCAGGCCCAGGCAATGGGCCGGCCGGCTAGCTGCACTGACGCCAGCAGCTCTGGGAAAGGCCGGGCTCTCCTCCCCACCGCCCAGAGCCCCCGGGACTAGTGGGGACACCTCCAGAGAGGCTGGTAGACAGCCTCTAGAGAGATGAGTTCTGGGTTTGCCTACCGGAATCCCACCCCTCCAGTCTTCACACCCTCCACTCAGTAAAACCACTGGCTCTGAGCTCTTTCCTGCCTGCAGCTGAGGGTTTTGGCAGGAGGAAGAACAGACGTTGTCTTTGCCTGAAAAGAACTCCCTTTCCTTTTCTTTGGTTTCCAAAGTCTGAAAACCTTAGGGTTCCCAAGAGGGTTTTCAGAGGAGGAGAAAAGAAAAATATTTTTTTTTCAGATAGAAGCAGGCTGTCCCCAGATCCTCCAGAGGCTCATATGTATTCCAACCACAACACAGCTAGTTAGCGAGGAAACTAACAGAAACAAGCAAGATAATGAGATACTTTCAATAAATGCTATCAAGAAAATAAAGGGTGGTGATGGACAGCAGGTGGGGAGGTTACTTCTGCAGCGATGGTTTTGGAAGTCTTCTCTGCAGAAGTGGCACACAAGGGTGACCTGAGGGGGAGAAGGGGCCTTCCAGGCGGAGGCCAACAGGTTCCAGGTCCAAAGGTGGGAGAGGCTCAGTGTGGCCAAGGGACAGAAAAGAGGCTGGTGCAGCTGCAGCCCAGGGTGAAGGGGAGAAAGCAGGAGATGAAGAAAGGAAGACAAGCGAGATTTGTCAGAGGCGAGAGGAATTCACGTTTATCCTCCAATGCATGGGAACCCCTGCACATTTTAGCAAGGCCATGTCTGAAAGTCTGAGCTTCTGGTTTCGGGAATGGGAATGGACAGAGCTGAAGAAAGGGGTGTTTTTAAGAGGAGGTTCTCGAGAAGGTGAAGTGGGATACCCATCAGGCACACACGCTCCAAGCTCGACTCCCAGGAAGCCCGGGGAAGGACCAGCCATGGAGTGAGAAGAGGTGCCTTTGCCTGTGGGAATCCATGCAGATCCAAAGTGGTGAGACCCAGAGGAGCCAACGAAGGACTGAAGGAGAGGAACGAGGCCGGATGCTGCCCGACTTCGAAACTTACTGTCAAGTGGCAGTGATCCAGACAGTGTGGTGCTGGCTGGAGAGCAGACAAGTAGATCAGTGTAACAGAATAGGGAACCTAGAGAGGGACCCCTATCAAAAGAGTCACCTGAGCTTTGACAATGGAGCAAAGACGGTCTCTTCAACAAATGGTGCTGGAACAACTGGACGTCCACCTGCAAAAAAAAAAAAAAAAAAAAATCTGGGCACAGACCTTATACCCATCACAAGTAACTAAATGGACCATAGACCTAAATGTAAACACAAAACTAGAAAATTCCTAAAAGATAACGTAGGGGAAAATCTGGATGACCTTGAGTTTGGTGATGATACAAACCCATGGTCTGTAGTTTGAGTTTGGGTTGGGTTTAGATGATGATCTGTGAAAGAAAGAAATGAGAAACTGAATGCTTTAGTCTGAACGTGTCTCCCCTCAAATTCATATGCTGGGGGGACATATTCATGAAATGCTGCAAGGGCAGGAGCAGGAGAACCACTGGACAACGGCGTGTAGCTAACAGCACCCTGGGGAACCAAGGGCCAGCATCATGATGAAACTTGTGCCTGACACTGTCCTGCTGATGGACTGCATCCTGCCTCACCTACGAAGGGTAAGTGGACAACAGGTATCTGCAGGTTTCTGGGTCATGGCCTGTGTTCTTCAAAAAGACACGTTGAAAGGGAGCTCAGTAAGGGTTTTAAACAGAGTTGCTCATGACTCACAAGGCACAGGGCTGTGACAACTAAATTGTTGCAACTCGCTGGTTAGGAAACTATGACAGAGGGAATGTTTTTAATTTGCTAGGCTTCTGTATTCTCCCCCTGCGGCCTCTCAGTGCACTGATTCCTTTCCCTATAGCATATACTTGTGGTCTTAGGACCCATTTAAACATTTCAAAATTACTGGGGACTCTAAAGAGCTTTTTAAAATGTCTGTCAATATTCACTGGGTTTGAAATTAAAACTAATAAAATTTTAAAATATTTAAATATATTTTTATGTATTTATAACTTAAAAAACAAATTTAAAAAACCCATTACATGTCAACACAAATAACATAGTTTTATAAAAGAATTAATTATACTGTATAAAAAATAAGAGTGGTACCTAAAAACATAATTTTGCAAATCTCTTTAATGCCCGGGTTTATGAAAGCATGTCTGCTTCTGCACTTGATCTGTGGGAAGATGTTTTGATGTGAAGTGCATGATAATCCAGCTTCACACAGCTATGCACAGCTGGCAAAGGAGAGAGCATTTAATGACCCTTTCAGGTAACTGTGGTTATTATTCTTTGATACCATATCAAAATTTGACAGGCGGTAGCGTCTTAATGGATCTTTTACTCATGCATGATTCTGTGATGCTATGCATTGGTCATTTGGAAAATCCTGATTTACTGAGTTCTGCAGATCTTCTGAATGTTGAATCATTGTATGTATAATTTTTAAAAATCACATTCATTAATATTACCACCAATCCCATTAGAAAAGTCTTTAAGTATTGGGAAGTCTCAAGCTCACAGTGGCAAATACAAAATCTAGAAAGTTCTAATTTTCATTTGGATGCTGAAATTTTATTATTGCAACAAATACTGTCAGTTATTTTCCTTGAAGTGCCAGGCTCACTTCATCACTTTTTGAGAAAATGTCAAATACCAAGCCTGAGTAACCACAGTTTGTCTATCAGCTGTTTTTTCCCAAAAACTGGTGTTCCATGAAAAAAGCTTACCTTGTGACTTATGTACGCACACAAGTGCTTTTCTTACAAGTCACTAGGCTACCCAGCAGAGTATTAAGGATGTGCATGCAAGGGTTGAAATAATAATTTTACTACTTCTGCAAGAGCGTTCTTAAAGGAAGCTGCCTTTTTAAAAACTTGAGACCATGTGGTGGTGAAGGCTATAAGGACTGCTGGTACAGGAGCCTTGATTCTTGCTAAGGGGCTGGTGATTTCACCCACCAGTGCTCTGAGCTCAGTGCGAAAAGCTGACACGGTGAAAGTGGCAAACCGTGTCTGGTATTACGAGAATAGTTGTGACCACCCAGGCTTCCTGAAAGGTTATTGGGGACACCCTCCCCTCAAATGGATCCATGGAACACACTTGGAGGACCACAGTGGTAGAGTTGAGAATCAGGAGTGAACCCGGTGTAGAATTGCCTGGGCTGGAGGTGAGAGGCACCGAGGATGCTGGGATCCAGGTGGGAACAGCGGGGTTGGCCTTACACGGTATAGTGTTAATAAGGACCTCAACAGACCCACAACAGGGGAGGGCCTGCTGCAGCTACTTCCTTAGAAGAGCAGATGACCCAAGGTGTTGCCTTCCCCCCTGAAATGGTGCTACTATAGCTTTTGTTAAACAGAATTTGTGCCTCTCCTGCTGGGCGCTATAGAGAAAGGTATAGATTGGGATGCTTAGTTTTTCCAACCAGCTCCATTCCTGTGCCCTCCTAGAATGCGTGTGGCCACGGGCCTCTCTCTCTCCTTCTCTCTCTCCCTCTTTTTCTCCCACCCCCCCATTTCCATACAGCCACTCACCAGCCCTAACATTTACTTATCTACTTCCTTTCCCCCCAGCAAAATGCAAACACCTTGTCTTAGTGTTATCATGTTGCTATAACAACATGCCACCCCCTGGGGGGCTTGTTAACAGCAGAAACTTATTGCTCACAGTCCTGGAGTCAGGAAGTCTGAGGCGCCGGGAGGCCTGGTGGGGGGAGGGCCCTCTTCCAGGTTGCAGACTTCTTGTGTCCTCCACCACTGGATGGAAAGGACCTGGGCTGTCTCTGGACTCTCTTTAAGGTCACTAATCCCATTGATGGAGGATCCTCCCTCCGGGACTCATCACCTCCCAAAAGCCCTGCGGACTAATACCATCAGCTGGGGGTTAGGATTTCCACATATGAATTTGGCAGGGGCACAAACACTCAGAGCATAATACACCTTTCCAGTGGAATATTTATGGGTCAACTGCCTGTTCATTGGGCAGTTACTCTGTGGCAAGCGTGTATCAGGCACTTTCATTCCTATTGTCTCGTGTCTCCACGTTACAGATGAAGGATGTGAGAACTAGCAAACGCATGAAGGTCAGATGACCAGCAGGCTGAAAACTCAGGACCTAGACCTTCCAATTCCTACAGCTCCCCGCCTGTGGCTGTTTTCTTTGCGGTTCCCCCCAACTCAGTCTTAGACCTTCTTACTCGGCACCTGGAAAACCCACTCGGGAGGCGGGGGACTCACACGCAGTAGGTATCCTCCATTGTGGGAAATGTTGGGACACACCTGCTGGTGCAGAGCCCTCCTGCCAAGCTCCTTGGGGATCCACCTGCCAACTGAGCCCCTGCATTTGATGTTTGGAAAGACCCTCAAAGTTAGCATGACAAAGTGTTGGTCCTCATCTGAACCTGCTTCCCCTCAATCTCCCCATCTCTTAAAAAAAAACCCGTCCGGTTGTTCAGAACCAAACCCAGAGCCACATCTAATTCCTCCCTTTCTCTCACACCTCATACCCCATCTTTCAGCTTCACCTCGACACATCCTCTCCGCCAGGCCGCGTCATCTCCAGGCAGGACCACGGCCCCAGCCTCGTAATGGGTCTCCCCCTTTGTGGTATTCTTCAGTGATGTCATTTTCTGCTGAAACGCTATAATGGGCTTTCTTTGGGTTTCAGTAGAATCCAAACTCCCTATGGTGGCCCTCTTGGCCACATCACCACAACACTCTGCTCCAAGCACACTGGCCTACTTTCTGCTCCTTGAACGCTCCCATCCTGATTTCCACCTTGGGATCTTTGCACGAGCTGCTCCATCTGCCTGGACTCTCTGTCCCCGACCTTCAAGCGGCTGCTCTCTCTTGTCACTTTAGTCAAAAGTCAAATATCGCTTCATTGCCAAGCCTTCCCCAACCGCCCACTTCTAATTAACCACCCTCCTCCACCTCATCCCTCTCCTGTCTTATTCTTCTCCTTTATTTTCTTCATAACTTTTACTTCTACATTGATCTTGCCTGTGGACCTGCTTCCTTTCTGTTTCTTCCCATGTAATTTTCACAAGAGGCAAGGCTGCTTCTGATTTCTTCCCCTGCCAAGCCCTCTGTGGTAGGATGGCCCCCGCGCCCAGGAGATATTTGCTGAATGAACAGAGTACAGGAGGGTCCGCCTTGCCTCCACCTGCAGGAGGATTGGACCCGTGTCTCTCTTCAAGCCCTTCCCTGTGGTTCAAACCCCATGGGGTGCCTCAGATGCTCTTGCCCGGGTGCCCACTTTGTCCACTGCGTGGTCTGTCATCTCCCCTTGCTGTTCGCAGGTTTGCCGAGTGGCTCTGTGGGGATGGGTGACCTCTGTGTTGACCCCTGGTAGCTGCTGCTGCTTTACCCTCTGTACCTCCACCTGTGGCTTCTCCCCAGTTTCACAGCCCTGCACTGATGCTAGAAAGGTGCACCCCACCCCCAAGCACACAGTCGTGCTGTCTGGGCCTCAGGAGGATGGACTTACCTCCCAACTCCCTGCAAGCCGTCTGCTACCTGGCACTTTTGTCCGACTTGCTCTTTATTATGGGATGCTGGCCCGGCTCCTTAGAGAGGCCCGAGCACAGTCAGGGTGATGAGGCCTGGCAGACCCAGCGGAGAGCGGACTTCTCCCCTCAAAGCCGAATGTCCGACTGGCGTGAATCTAGAGGGACCAGGCGGAGGAAGGGCTCAGGACGGAGGTGGGAGAGGGTCCTGGGAAGTGGAGCGTGGCCCAAGGACCTGGGGTAGGGCCTCCATCTTCTCCTCTGTGGCTTTAGGGACAATCTGGAAGCTCCCAATAGCTCCTTGAGGTCTCCCCGATTCCAACCCACTCTTCCCAGGGTGAGTGCAGGGCTATCCCTCGTCTCAGGCTGTCTTTGGAGTGTTTGGTCTCAGCAGCTAAAGTTCCTACCTCTGACTTTCCATCCCTAAATCTCCCAGAAATGATGAGACACGCCTGGGTTTGCGGGGGGCATGCAGCTTGCATTGCTGTTCCGGGATCTTTGCAGTTCACAGTCTAAGAAGCAACAAGACTGACAAAGACAAACACGGGACGTGGTGATGAGACACCGACAGTGGAGTTCAGGCTCACCTGGGAACAGCGGTGGCCTCTGTACCGCGCACGTATTCTTGACCAGCTCCTCTACTGCTTCTTACTTTTCAAGGCCGGGAGGGGATGGTGACGCTTTGCTCTACTTTCCGACTTACACTGACCACGAGAAAAGCAATACTTTCTTAGTCACACTTGTTGCCAGGAGAGGGTCTTCTCAGCTGGGGGGATGAGGGGGCTCCTTGTGTGGGAACCAGGGGTTCTGGCCCGTTCTCACCTCCCACCGAAGGCCGTTCCAGCCTCAGAGCCTGAGCCAGCTCTGAGAATGACGTTTGCTCAGTCTTGGTCTTGTGTGAATCATCAAGATTCCTCCAGGCCTGTCCCGGGCTGGGCTGCAGTTTCAGTTCAGGGAGGAGACCATTGATCTGGGATCGGAGCTGTGCATCGTTGAACTGAAGTCTGACAAATAACCAGATACGTCATCTTCCAGGACACAGGCACTGCCTTGTGCCTCCTACTCAGGAATCATACGCTGCTGGGTGGTTTGCGTTTATGATTCGAGGCCTCACCTGCGGAATGAAGTCCACCAAGTGCGGAGGCAGCCAAGGGCCTAGATGGTTCTGAGCGTTTCCTGGGTCTTCCTGGGTTGGTGGGTCCTCCTGGCAGGTCCTGCTGCTTTCTCCAGGCGTCTGGTCTTCAAGTCAGCCCCCAGGGTACACCCCGGGGCCCCCCCTGCCTTTAATCCTTCCACCTGCATGCACCCTCAGTCTCTGGGGGCCTCATTGTGCTTTCATGCCCAAGGCGACACAGGGACATAAAGTGGCCTGTGTTTAACTGCTGAGAGCCACTTTGATTAATTCAGGATTAAACCATCACCCAAAACCAAAGCACATCGGTGCTAAATCTCACAATAAAAGTAGTTGAACAAGTCAAAATCTGCTTTCCTGGGAAAAGGATGATGTTTTGTGATTCCTGAGGGCTCAGTTATTTTTCCCAAGTAGCTCGTCCTGCATTCACTCACTGCCTGCCCTGTCCGTGGGCAGGGGAAGGGGTTCCGGGCTGACCTTGGGGCAGAGGCCAGAGGAGAGCAGGCTGGAGGGGCCAGGGCTCACGTGTATGACCCGCCCGCCTTTCAAACTTGTATCTGATGTTTTGCAAAAAACTGACAAACTGAAACTATTACAGGGACTGATATTGCGGAGAAGCTAGAACTCCGTGCTACAAATCTTTTGATATCAAGACGCACTTGGTAAGTGGTTAAGGAGGCCCGTCAGTTCCTCTAAGTCCCCATCGCCAGGGGGTGGGGGGCTGGGTGGTGGTGGTGCTAATTACATTGAGGAGAACAAGCTGCTCTTCCCCGAGGGGTCTGGGACTCACTAAGAGGCTGGAAAGGTGTTGGTTCCAAGTTCCAAGCCTTTGAAGTTTACGATGGTGATGAAAACCTTTGTGTTTAATACAGGAAGATGCGTGTGCATGCGCGCGTGTGCGCGAGGACACGCACGAGGCTCAAGCCTTCAGGTGTGAATGCGTGTACCTAATGGTGAGCCCGTGAGGTGTGGAGGAAGCAGGAGGCTTGGGGCGTGAGCTGGGCACCTGGACAAGCCATCAGAAGGAGCAAAAGTGGCTTGGAAAATCACAGTTCCAGCTCCCTTTGAGGTCATTCATCCAGTGGACTTGAACTTGGTCTCGGAGACCCTTGGACTCTGCAGAGGTCCTTCCAGAGACGCCAAGGAAGCAGGAGAAGGTGAAGCGGAGCAACTCGATTTCCTTCCTTTCCCCACCACCAAGCAGGAAAGTCTGCTTTTAACCGCTTCATCTGTGTTGGGCAAATTGCGGCTCTCTGGTTCATGGTTCTCACCTGTAAACTGGGCGCAGCGTGGCCCATGGCACTGTGCGTCAATGCATGGAAGGTTCAGGAGGGTAGCTGGAACAGTAAGAGCCCAATGAATATTAACGATTATCTGTCATACGAATAAGATTTCATTTGCAACGTGGCTCAACCGCTAATGAAATTCTGAAAGCTACCATCCAGTGCAACACCCTCATTTTCCAGACACGGTAACCCATCAAGTGTGAGCAGTTACCCAGGTCTGTACTACTGCTTAGAGAGGGACAAAAATGGGCCTCGCAGTAGGATCTCCTGGCTCCAAGGCAGGTCGTCTTGGTGCTGCCCAGGATGGCTGTCCTTGGGGAATGGACCCGAGGGCATTTGCAGCTGCAGAGGGAATCTCTCTCCAGCCCCGGTCTCCCTGGAGGAAGGGAGAGTGTCTGGTCACTGCAGGCTCTCGAGGTCCAGCTTGGCTCCGGCACATCTGTTGAATGGATGACAAAGGCTCTGACCAAGGTCACATGGCTGTGCTGGGATAGAACTCAGGTCTCCCGCGACGAGTGACCGACCGGAATTGGGTGAAGGCGGGGGTGGGGGGTGGGCTTGGTGCCACACGTGGCCTGTGTGATGGGGAGGATGGGGCGAGAGGGCTTATGATGTTGTGTCATCAACTGTGTGGTCCCAGCATCCCAGGGAGAACCAAGGTCCAGTCCTGGCTCTGAGAGCCACCAACAGAAAGCCCTCCGTGTGCCCGCCTGGGGACGTTGAGACAGGAGGGGTGAGCTCAGTGCAGGGTCTGTCTGGGGACCTGGCATCCCACCTCCAATACCCCTTCCATCCTCCATTTCCTCACCCAGACCACAGGCTTCGTGTCTGATCTGAGTTCTTGGGAGAGAAGGGACTAAAAGCTCGAATCGCTATTTTCGCTAGTGGGGCGCTAGCAGTACCAACATTTGTGCGGTCTCTGTAACCAATTGGATGGAGGAGAGACGGGCCTCCTGGCACCTGGGAAATCTGGCTGCTCTGTGGTCAGCTCTGGAGAGCATCCCCGGGCCTGGGCAGCCCCTGACCCCTAGACATGAGGGTGTGAAGGCCAAGGCAACCTTTCGGAGGGAAGCCTCGGGAGAAAAGACCCTGGGCGGGCACTGTTTTCATTCCAGAAAGGACATGGATGATGCATGACACGTGAAGTGCTGGGGAAGGGGAGGGTGCTCTGGGTTGGGGGGGAGCTCTTCATGGTGGCCAGTAAGAGAAAGGGCCCTCCAGGCTGTGCCCCAATCCACCCAACACCTTACTAAAAATGAAACAGGGTATTCCAAAACTGTGGCTTCTAGATACAAATAAAGTCCACTTGGAGGAAGGAATTGCAAATGCATCTCAGGGGAAAGTGGTGTAGCTTGAGGAAACAAACAAAAAACTGTGAACCCAATATTTAGAACTGGTTTAGAGCACTTTTCACTGTAAATGATAACAGCTTAGAATATACTCCAAGGGAAATGCGCCAGTATAAATGACAGGCTCTACAAACAAGAAAAAAAGAGAGAATCACATAACAGCAAACACCTGCCTTTTCTGATCCTGCGCGCTGTGGAATCAAGCAGGAAAGTCAAGCCAGGATCTGGGGGAGGGCGTGGAGAGCAGGACAAGGAGAACTCCGGCCAGAACAGAACAGAAGGATGTTAAAATTATAATAAAATGGAGGACCAAGGAAGGAGAAAAAGCTCCACTCTCTTTTCAAGATGCCAGAAAGTGGTCAGGCATGCTTTTAAAAAGTGAAGAAAGCTATGAAAGGAGAGTTAAAGGCTAGAGATCTTCAAAACACCTGCATTGTTTCCACCTGTTCAGCAAGCACAGCCATTACTAACACGGGTGAAGAAATTGGAATAAAATTAGGGGAGAAACCTCAAGTTCAAAGGAATCTGCGGAGCCAGAGACGAGGGTCTCAAGATAGAGAGGAGGTCAAGCTAGAATCAGAGGGCAGCTTGTCACACAATGTTCCGGAAGATAGAAGAACGATGGTAGACTTAATGAATACTGACGGCTGCAGGTGATGCTGAAAGGATACTGCAAAATGATGGCGTTCTCGGTAAAATTGTTTCCAAGGGCTTCATAGAGAAGTCCTGAGAACCGCCTGTGTACCAAATCCACTGACCCAGTTAGCTAATTTAAAATGTAAAACTGACTCGAATCGGGTAACCAGGATCATCTGGGCTGTGCCGCCCAGCCAGGTACTTGGTGAGAGGCAGAGAGCGGGGATTGAAACACATCTCCTTCAGGCTCGTCTGTGGTCTTACCATCAATCCACAGCCCCCGCCCTTCTGCCACAGCAAAGCCAGGTCCCCGAGCAGAGCTGTGCCCGTGCTTTGCCACAGTTCATGCAGTCAGGTGTTGATGGAGTGGTCGAGCCTGGCTGCCAGCTCTCACCAGGGCTCCAAAGGCTGCAGGGGCAGGGCCTAGCTGTCCTCAGCGGCTGGCATGTGAAGGTCGGTTATCAGAAGCTGAGCTGTGCCGTGATGCGTGATGCGGGACAGAAGAGGTTGGGCTCTGCAGTCAGGCAAACCCAGATGCAAATTCCCGGCTCTTCCATGAACCTGTTTTGTGACTTCTCTGAGCCTCAGTTGCTTCATCTGGAACATAAGAATAAACAGTGAGGACAAGATGAGATCACCCTTTAGGGCCCTTTGCATGGCACCTAGCACACAGGAGCTCAGGTGTGAATATGAACGTCACCCTCTCCCCCAGATAAATGGGGCAGAGGCATAGGCGTGGCTCTACCAGGTTAGGCAATGAGGTGTTGACAGGCGGGGATGGATGTCCAAGGAAAGGGTAAAGCTAGTGACAACTGACATCACTGAACACAGATGCAAAAGGTCCTCATCAACCCATCACTGAGGGTGGCAGGAGTACCAGGGGCCGTGTTGTATCGTGTACAGAGCTCTTCCTCACTGTCGACCAGTTAAAGCTGCTACGAGGCTCCAGAGCAGGAAAGAGCAATTTCCCTAAAGAAAGAAGCAGTATGAGAAACACATTCTGTTTCTAGGAAACTTGGTTGGCTGGACAGGATTGTGGCAGAGAGACCACAGCTATGGTGGCATAGAAAGGGCTCCTAGGGTCTTATGAGGGGGGACAGAAAGGAGACACACCAGCTGTGTAGATAAGACAAAAGCCTCAGGGCCACTTCTTAGAATGTAAAAGAGTTAAAAGAGTTACGAGAGGAGGTGGGTGTAGAAGTGAATCCCATCAGAGGAAAGAGAAGGCTCAGATTCGAGTTAGGGGTGAGAGGTAAAGGGCGTCTGGATTGGTGAGACCGTGAACCACGGCAGCTGGGAAAATTGCAGTGATGGATAATCACTGCAAATATGTAGATGGTTTTAATAATTAAACGTCTGTCCAAGAAGAGACCTGGAAACGTATCTGTGGCTTATGTACAGGCTTTGGAAGCAAGATGCTCAAGGGACCCAGGGCGGTGGTGCTCAGACGCAGGATAACAATAAGTGTGGGTGAGCTTGGGAACCATGAGATGGCTGGTGGGAAACAGGACCCGACATCTACCACAGGGGAAGCGAAGTTACCTGCCCCAGGCTTGTGGGGAGCCAGCCCCGTACCCACAGCTTCCTGGGTCCAAAGGCAGTGATCAACCACCTGCTTTGTGGCCTCGGTGGGAGCCCTGTGTTCAGGGTGCGGGCCCAGCAGGGCTCCTGGGAGGGCAGCCCGATCACCCACCATCTCTACTGCCCCTGAAGAAGGGCACAGAGCCACGGTTAGTCTCTCGGGATGACAGTGACTCCCACACAGTGTCCCCTCTCGCTTCCCGGGGTGGATCTCCCTGGGCAAGGGCAGGGCAGGGCCGTCCCCGGGGAGACTGGCACAGGGGGAGGGACGGGCAGGTCCCTGCAAGTCGGGGGAGGCAGAGGAGCCTCCAAGACCTGTCCTGCAGGTTCCTCGGTGTTTCACCCACAAAACCCAAACAGCAGTGGACGCGCTGGCGTGTATTCCCGGGTCAGGGCCCTGGAAAGCTGAAGCCACCTGCCCTTGCGCTGGCTCTGGAGGCCTACACACCTCCCACCAACACACACTCTTGCACACACATCACTCTCACACAGACACACGGCTACTACACGTGAAGGCTCTTCCGCCCCAAGGGCTCACCCAGCCACCCTGGAGGGGGTCACCCGTCCTGTCACAGCTGCAGGGGACTCAACATCCTCCAGGAAGGGGATGCCCCTCCTCCTGCAGGGTCCCCACGGCCCAAGCTCTTGATCTAAACTCTGCTACGCAGAGCAGTGGGCAGAGATGAAACAGGTAAGACCATGGGTCCAGGGAGTTTCCTAAATGGGTTTCTGTGCTTGGGGCTGACTTAGTAAACCCAGGAGCCAGGCCAAGTTCACAGCTTCAGCCACCCGATTCTACATCCTCCTACCCCCTTGCATCTTCAGGGGCTGCCTACTCCAGCCCAGTGCTTTCCAGTCTTCCCGCAGCTCCCAGGCAGGACCCCTCTGAGATCGTAAATGAAGGGTCCCCTCCTTCCTGGTGTCTCTGTAGAGAACCCTGGTCTTAATAGAACCGAATCAGAGAAACTGGGGAGCTAGAGGAGGAGTATTCTGCAGGGACAGGAAGCCTTCTCCTCAGCTCTGAAATCACACTTTGAACATTCAATTAATAAACAAGTCTCAGCACCACCTGTGCACCAGGCTCTGAGTGCAACTGGCTCCCCGCTTTCCCGAAGCAAAAAGGCAGGCAGCCGCATCCCCGCCTAAGGATCTGCCAGCCACGCTGGGCTGGAGAGTGATGACGCCCGCAGTGCCATTCTGGGAGAATCCCACTCAATTCTACCACCATCTGCCCTCCACCAGCCCCGCCCCATGGGATGAGAGCTGGCCAGCAGCCCCGAGAGAGCACAGGAATGCTGGACACAGCCCTTCCACTCCTCCAGTGTCTGCCATGTCCACTGAGGGAGGCTCCTCTCCCCTTCCCACCCATCTCTAAAATTGGGAAAGCCCTCTTGAGCCCCCCTCCCCAGCTTGGCCAAGGTCCCTGTGAGAGTCACATGGGCAAAAGCCTCTGGGGTGCCGTGGTTGGCCATCGGGAGTAGGTGAGGCCCGGGGTGCCTGCCACCTCTCCTGGGCAGACCGGCCGCTCCAGTTCCTGCATTTCTCAGCTGTCCCTCCCTAGGAGGAGGATTTCACCGTAGGACGTGGGGTGGGGAGGGAGTTTTCTTGTTCCCTTTGCTTGGATTTTCAGAAAAGGAGGGGTTCCCATCCTGTGGCAAGACTGCCGCTGGAGCTCTGTCCTCACGCCGACACAGCCTCGGTCCCGCCGCTTGTCCCAGCTCTGACGTGAGCCCCTTGGGCGTGTTGGCAGCAAGCTCCGTAGAAGGTGCGAGAGACATGGCTGAGCAGCTGTCCAAAGAGCAGGTGGCCGAGTTCATGGAGGCCTTCCATAGATTCGACAAGGACAAAGACAATGCCATCAACACCCAGGAGCTGGGCGCCGTGATGCAGGAGCTGGGCCTGAACCCGTCGGAGGCCGCGCTGAAGGGATTCATCGCCAGGGACGATGCGGACGGGGATGGCGTCATCAGCCCCCAGGAGTTCCTGGCAGTGATAGCCAAGGGGGTTCAGGCCCGGGCCAGAGCGGATGACCTGAGGACAGCCTTCCACGCCTTCGACCTGGATGGCGACGGCCACATCAGCGTGGATGAGCTCAAGCAGGCCATGGCCCAGCTGGAGGTGTCCCAGGAGGAGTTGGACATCATGATCCGGGAAGCTGACGTGGACCGGGACGGGCAGGTGAGCTACGAGGAGTTCGTGCACGTCCTCATGCTGAAGTGAAGCCTCCCGACCGCCGCCCCCTCCTGCCTGACGCCGGGCCTGCTACGGGGTCCGGCCCGGCTTCTGAGCCGGGGACCCCAAGGGACAGTCTAGGTGGTGGGTGGGAGGGGCCTCCCCGTGGGGACCCCTGGCCTCTCCTCGGCCCGGGGTCTGCTCTCTGTCCAGCGAGACCTCGTGTGCTCGTGCGATGGGGGTGCTCCCTACCTCGCAGGGCTGTTGTGAGGACCCCAAAGTGACGTGGTGATCGGAATAAAAGGGATCTGAGCTTCGAGGTGGTGACACTGCGCTTGAATGGGGGGGTGTCCAAGGGCCCCAGACGATGGGGTTCTGTTGAGCCTCTCCCTCTTTCACTTGGCCCTAGTGGGGGACACGGCCAGTAGACCCCCGTCTGATGCCCGTGGATGAGGAGGCTGGTGAGCGCCACGGGGTGGGAGGGGGATGGAGGGGGATGGAGGGGGATGGAGGGGGATGGAGGGGGATGGAGGGGACCCGAGGGTCTGCCTGAGCTTCTGGTCAGGACCTGAGGCCGGAGGAGCCTGGACCAAGGGCTGGGACATACCTGCACCACAAACGAAGTTTATCATCCTTTGCATGTAGCCAACTGTTCTTCAGGCTCGAGCTGAAAGAAAAAGATGCGTGTGTGCATGCGTGCATGTGTGAGTGCATGCACGCACGCGTGTGCTTGTCCTGCCTTTGAGACATGGGATCTTCTACAGTGAAGGTGGTGGCCCCGGAGGACCGGCCCTGCCCCACCTGAAGGAGGGCAGGACAGGTGGGAACGGGAAGGACGAGAGGTGCTGTGATGGGTAAAGGGCAGGGGGCTGCACTTGGGGGGGCGTTTCCCAATCAGATCTGAGGAGGACACGGCTCAGGGAGGAAGGGGCCCCCTCAGACCCCTTGGCTGCAGCCTCTCAGGGCCTTTCTGTGGTGGGGGGCTCTGAAGTGGCTCCCAGGCTGGGGAGCGCCCATGGAGGAGTGGGGGGAGTCCAGAACATGGAGATGGGAGACGAGGGTCTGCCTGCAGCACTGCCCCCCATGTCAAGCTGACGTGCCATTTGAACTTGGGTTTCTGTGCTGTTGCTGTGTGTTTTTAAAAAACTATCTTAGCCGGGGAATTCCCTGGCAGGCCAGTGGTTAGGACTCTGCGCTTTCATTGCCCAGGGTGTGGGTTTGATACTTGGTCGGGGAACTAAGATCCTTCAAGCCGTGCAGCACGGCTAAAAGAAAAAAAGAAAACAAAACACAAACCAAAAAAAAAAACAGCAACGAAAATTATCCTAGCCAGAGCCAAGGCAAAGGTTCTCAGCGCAGGGTGGGGAGAGGCAGAGCCCGCTTACCTGAGGAGTTATTGCAAAATACCTGCCCGGTCCTTTACCATCCCCCTCATTCCGGTACGTGGGCGGGTGAGTGACAGCTCTGTCCCAGTGCAGTGGGAGCGGTATCACGCTACCCAGGTGCAGCTATGGTATCGATGAAGTTGTTCCATTTGGGGACATTTTCAGTGGGTCACTCAGCCTCCCGTGCCCTCACAGAGGGCTGCCCCGTCCATCCTAGCCCTGACTCAGGGTCTGGTCGAAGTCCTTTCCTTGGGCCTGGGTTGGAGGGTGGGGAGACAGAGAAGAAAGGCAGGAGGCTCCTGTCCCTGAGGGTTCCGGGGGGAGAGGGGCTGGAGCATCTGGAGGAGATAAGACGGGAGACAAGAAGTGGGGCACAATCAGAGGAGGGGACGGTGGCAGCAGCAGGCACCCATCCTGGATGGGGGTGGTTTCCCCGGGTGGTCCCCCCGCCCCCAAGAAAGTCCCCATCCTCTTAGGGACGCAGGTCATAGAAGTTAGTTTCTAAATGAGAGGTTCCTAAATGCCAGGCCGGTCCAGGAGGAAGTGTTCCAGGCTCTGTGTGGAAACAAGAAAAATAAAGACGTTTTGACGAACCTAATGTATTCAGTTTCTTAAATTCTGAGAATATGCTTTTTCTATAGTTTGTGTTAAATGTCCTTTCTTTCATGAAGTGACTATGATGGTAAGTGATAGTTTTGTGAGTTTTTTTTTCTTTCACGTACTTCCTCTGAAGTGTGGGGAATTCCACAAGTGCCCAACATTAATTTTGACATCTTACTGTCCCGTGAGGCCCAAAGCTCTGAGGACAGTGGCTCAAGTCTATGGAATATAAAACTGGTTTTCTTTCCTTAAAAACACTATTCAGTAAACTCCAAGTTCAGGACTGGTGCTTCCTCTGGAGGAGGAGGAGGAGGGATCCGGGAGGCTCTTGATCAATGCCTCCAGGTTTTGCTTCTTAGGCTGCCTGGTTCTAGGATGCTAATACAGGGATGTTACTTTATTCTCCATATTCTCGTGTGTGTAAAATATGTTCTACTGAGAACAATGCAAGGAGTTCATGGATGGTTAGAACTTACAGAGGGAAGGAGAGAGGTAAAGCCACCAGCAGTCCAGGGAGGTGGGGGTCAGGCTGGGGTGAGAGGTGGGACCCCTGAGGCTCATCCCTGCCGAGCTGTTGCCGAAAAGGGTTCGATAGGGCCACAAGGCAGGAAGAAAGCAGAAATATCTCTTCATCTATTGCCTGGGGAACAGAACAGGAATCTGGGGGTCTGGGATAGGAAGTGACTTACTTCAGGCCTCGGATGAGAGAAGGACCTGGATGGACCGCCAGGGCTCCACCTGCATAGCTGCTTTCCAGGGGGCGTCCCGGTGGGCCCACCCTTGGAGGAAGGAGCCCTGGGGAGGGGTCTGGTGGGGACCAGGGCTTCACCATCTTCTTAAATCTGCCGGCCTGTGTTTTAGTGACTTTCTCTTTACACCGGACACTGCAGGGGACAGGAAAAGAGCTTCACATTGGCTCCAGGTGGCCTGGATGACCTTGGTGGTGGTGGGGGGTGTGGCCCAGGTTACCCAGCCCCTAGTCCTGAAGCTTCCCTGCCCCATCTAGACCCCGAGAGGATAAGGAGAGCGAGCTAGAAGCCTCCCAGGAGCCAAGGCGGCTCGAGGTCACATCAGGAAACCGGCGGCTCCGAAAGCCACCTCTGAAAATCCATTTGCTGAGACTAGTTCTGCAAGTGGTCTGCTTGCTGGTATTTCCCAATTTGCCAAAAAATTATTTCTAAAGACACTTCACAGGATTACAGGGATTCACATTGGATAAGATGTTCTTAGTCGTTGTTTAATATTTCTCTGAAGTTTTGTTTAGTTTGATATTTCAGTTTTTAGTTTGACTGTGGCTTGGAAATTGTTTGAGTTGCTGTCAGTTCACCTAAACATCGAACGATAACCTGACAGAGATGAACAGTCGCATTTCATCGCCAGGGTGGATGCAGAGCGGAGCTGACCTGTTCGCTGTTGTCCTGCAAACAGGAGCCGACACCCCGAGTGCCTGGAATGTGAATCACACACAAAACTGACATTTGGCTGAGCAGAACTGAACTGATACATTTACAGGAACTGGTTGGGGTGAAACCACTTTGGTGAAAACAAAACTAATCTCAACTAAAGCAAAAATTCCTCCAAATCCTTCCAGGCATTAATTTTAATGAATTATGCTACCTCTGGTCAAAACAGATGTTTCAAATTCCATATACTAAGTAATACGTTTTCTTCACTGAATTGTCCCTGTATCTTTTAAATCTTAATTTATATCTATTCCTGACAGGCCTTCTAAGGTCCATATCAAATGCCTCCTCCTCCAGGAAGCCCTCCCAAACAGGACCTAGCATGTTGTGGATCCTTAACACATGCCCTTGGAGTGAATGACTAAACATCTCCCTCTTAGTATGAGTCTCTCAAAGTGCATCTTGTATTGTAATTCCTTGTGAAAAGGCCAAGTCTCCTTCCTCAGGACCCCACATAACAAAATAAAACTCATCAACATTTACCCTAGATTGTAAACCCATTGAGCTCAGGGCGTGTGGATTTCTGGATTGGGGTTGGTTTAGTACAAACCCTCCCACCATCTGCACTAGATGCCAGGAGACCTGGCAGGCTCCCTCCCACATGAGGCATGACCTCTGCAGGGAGGAGGTGGTTCCCGTGCTGCCGATGGGGTGAAAAGGAATCTCTACAACTTCACACTCGACGGGAAGATGTGTGACTGGAGAGAGAGGGCACCTTATGCTCCGGCTTCTAAGAACCATGAAGACAGTCCGCATATGATCATAACATCCCAGCTGTTCTGTATTCGGGTTCTCCAGAGAAACAGAGCCACAGAACCAGTAGGGTCTGTAGAGACACAAGGAGATTTGTTATAGGAATCAGCTCATGCATTACGGAGGAGGCAGAGAAGCCCCAGGACCTGCCTGCTGTGGGTGGAGACCCAGGAGACCTGGGGACGTAGTTCAGTCCAAACCAAAGCCTGAGCCTCGGGAGCTGACAGGGTAAGTCCTGATCTTAGTCTGAAGGCTCAAACCAGACCCATGTCCGAGGGCAGGAGAAGGTGGATGTCTCAGCTCAAACCAAGGAGTGAACTTGCCCTTCCTCTCCCTTTTTGTTCTGTTTGGGACCCTCAGTGGATTGGGTGATGCCTACCCACAATGGGGAGAGAAATCTGCTGAACCCGGTCACATGCTCATGGCTGCTGGACACACCCTCACACACGCACCCATTAACACTGTTTCCCCAGCTCCTTTTAGCCTAGCCAAGATGCCACATTAAAGTTAACCATTACAAAGTTCTTTCCCTCTCGGTGTAGGAGGGAAATAGATTCCAGGGCAGGTAACTGGTAGGACAGACAACAATTTAGATGTCAGGCCACTTGTACCAGTTGATAAGATTTCAGATCAATGCTTCTCTCTTCACAGTACCCCCCCCCCCCCCCAAAAAAAAGTTGTTAAAAGTATGTTCTCAATAGATACAGGCTATGCCCTAGATTCTCAGGAACAATCTAGATAAATTATCCAGCCCCATTTTCTGTCAACCTGTTCGGGTTCTGAGTTTTGGGGTCATGAATATGGCTGCCCTACCCCTCCCCTTCACCAGGACTCTGCTGGGTGGTCACGCTCCAGAGGGAGCAGCCCACTCCTGGGAAACCAGGGCCCTCCTCCCCACCTCCCCTGGCACACTGGGAGGCTGCTGTCACCCAAGTCCAGTCTGAGTCACTTTGGGAACAGACGGTGCTCTGCTGGGTGACCCACGGCCCCCCACCTGCTCTGTCCCCCCGAGAGCCAACATGGAGCCCCCGCCTTTCTGATCTTTGGCCCAGATGGAAGTCAGTTCTCGGGGAGGGGATGCCAGTGCTCTCAAGGAGTCTAGTTTTCCTGCATCCAGACCCATGTGGTCACGACAGCGAGGTGGTGATGGCGGTGACATTCACTCACTCACTCATTCATTCCTCCCACAGTGTTTCCTTGAGCCCCACGCCTCCCCGTGGGCCTGTGAGGATGGGGGGAAGGTCACAGCAGGCTCAGGGGGAGATGGGAGCCGCCTGAGTGTGCAAACAGGAGCCGACACTCACCCCGAGAGCCGGGCTCCTGCTGGAGCTCAGGGACTCCTTTGTCCTTGCATCTTCCCCTCCTTCCCTCTTTTCTTCCTTCACCATTATTTCCTGACACAGTGTTAGGCGCTGGTGATGCAAGAAAGCCTCCACTTTGAAAGCTCCCTGTATGGGGGACCAACGTGGGCACAGACGATTGCTGTTGGAGAGGGGGTGCCCACTGGAGAGCTGGTACCCCCTGGGATGGGGACTCGCCCTGCCGGGGGCAGAGGCAGCTGGACATGACGTTTCAGCCGGGTCTCTCAGTGTCCAGGGCTTCAAAGATCAAGTGGGTAGTGGGCATTTCAGGCCCGGGGAGAGTTCGGGGTTCACTGGAGCCAGGGCTGCAGAGCCTGCCTTTTAGGCACCCTCTGTGCCCATCTTTGGGCTCGTGGTTCGTCCTGGTTAGAAGCAGCCTCATACCTTTGGAGAGGGCACCAAACACCCGGACCCCGTGCTTGTCCAGAGAAGTGTGGGCTGCCTAAACTGCTACATAATCCTCTCTCCTCAAAGCCACTGAAATTCTGGAATCTCTGTCTTTAAGGACGAGCCTCCTTCCCAGGGCGATGACCTTGGGTGGCCCTGCACTGGCTGAGCTGCCCCTGGGCTGGCCCTGCTTCAGAGGCACCTGAGGTCTGGAGAGAGAAAGGAGCCGGTGGGGCCTTTGGGAAGGGGGTGCGCAGGAGGGGGGCTCTGCTACCTTAGGGACCTTGCCTGAGCTGCTATCCTTGTCATTGGATCTCAGCCCAGTGTGTCTGCCTCACTATTGCTGGTCGTGCTTCCACTCCAGGGAGCATGGCTCTGCTCTGTCCCTTGCTTGTTCCTCTGCATCCACCATTCCTCCCCCCGCCCTGCCCCCGCCAGAACATGAGTGTCAGGACCGCTGGACTCCATGCGTCCTGTGCATTGCTGTTACCCCAGCGGCGGGGCTGATTTCATAGGATGGATGAACAGCATGGACACGGCCATTGCTTTCATTTCCGGGCGCCTCACTTCTTGGTGAAGGGTAGAGACGGACTGGAACCTGCCCAGAGAAGAGTGACCAGGAAGACACTGCAGGGGGGGCGTTCAGCCCGGAGCAGGAAGACCCGAACAGCGGCTGCTGCACAGCTGAAGAGCCGCCCCTGGAAAGGGATTCGGACCTGCTCCAAGCGGCCCCAGGGCCAGCATGTGTGCTGGGGGCAGGGGGTGAGGTGGGGTGGGGAGCCCGACGGCAGCTCAGCAGGATGACGCTCCCGGACCGCAGGGCCACCCGAGGGGTCTGGGGCTGCCTCGGGAGACGGGGGACAGAGGCGTTCCCTAAGATGCTCGGGAGACATTTGGGAAGGACCGTGGAGGAGTCTCACCCATCCCGCGGGTCCTGGGCTGGATGGACGTTGATGTTCCTCCCGTTTCTGAAGTTCAACGGTTCTGTAGTTTGGGAATCGTTTATGAAGGTGGGTCTAAAGATCTTCGTTTTATTGGAAATACTGAGCGTTACGGGCTGCATTTTGTGTCCCCCCAAATTTATGTGTGAAGTTTTCTCTGGGAAACAGATCCTGGACAGAGTGGGGAAGGCCAGGGATGGAAGGGTTGCTGCTACAAGCCAGGTGTGCCGAGGATGCAGACAGCCACCAGCACCCCAAGAGGCGAGGAGGAGACTCTCCCCGGAGCCTCCCGTTGGGAACCAGCCCCGCCTGCCCACAGACACCTGGCCTCCAGATCTGTGAGGACAGAGCCACCAGGTTTGCGGTCACTCATTCCAGCAGCCACAAGAGACAAGTATAAGTGGGTAAAAAGTGTCCAGCACTTGCTCACAAATGCATGTCGAGGAAGGAGCTCCCTGGCTCTCCAGGGCATCGCCCAGCAGAGCCAGCGAGTTTCTCCTGATGCTCAGGGACGTCTGAGCAGCTCCGCCCATCTTTGATCACATCTGGAAAACAAATGATGCAGCAACTGTGGTTTGTTGGGTGAAAACACAGTTTGGGGAATAACAGGGGTCCGGGGTGGGAGAAAAGTTGGGAGGCATCGGATGCGAGATTCTTGAAGACCCTCCACTGCGAGGCCAGAGCAGGCGGGGGGACAGAGGCCTCCTAGGCTGTGGGGCAGCCACACGCCAGGCCCTGAAAGTGAGAGCCAGGGGTTTGAGAAGGGCTGGGGGGGCACCCACTCCCCATCTCCCGAGGCCGAGCCCCGTTCACCCTGGGCAGAGGGGTTGGGTGGCAGGTGGTCTTTGACGTGAGGATGCAACCCTGTAACTGGGGCCCAGCTGTTCCCTGGGGCTATGGCCCAGGCAAGGATGGGCGTCATGGTCCCTGAGGGGAGAGAAGGCAGGACAGGGCGCCCTATCACCAGGAGAGGAGGCCCAGGGAAGTCTGTGGGCATGGCGGGGTGGGCTGGGGGCACCAGGGCAGAGGCCGACCCAGGCTCTCCCCCTACAGCTGCTCAGAACACACAAGTGGCCTCGGGGTTCGGGAAGGAAGGGCAATACATTTGGTGAGGACTTACTCATGCCCACTGTGGGTGCAGGAGCGAAGCTGACCTTGTTAGATCTCTGGCAGAGCTCTTGGCCCTCATTTGCTCGTTTGCAAAACGGAGGTAGCAACAGCTCTTCCTCTGCGGGCTTTATCAAGTGGTAGTTGGACTCCAAACCAGCTCAGATCTGGTAAAACACGGTGCAGAGGCAACCGCACGGGGCCTCGGTGGTGTGTGTGTCTTGTCGCAGGCTCCCGGGTCCCTGCAAGCGTGTGCAGAGCCCGTGGGCTTCCGAGCCCGAGAAGATGGGCTGGTTTCACTCCAACATCTTGGGGTGGGGCCTGAACAGTCCTCGCGACTCCACTTCCTCCTCTGGGTTTTCCATGAGGCAGAGGGGATTTCCTGGCAGGAACCACCACGGTATCTGTCAGGGCCAGTGGGCAGAGATAATGGAAACACAGCCTGTTATCGCTCCCCGGACAATGCTGGTGTCTTGCTCCGTGGCTGGTGCTAGCAAAAGAAGAACAAAAACAAAAATGCTGTTTTGGCTTATGCACTTCTAGACCAGAGGATTGTGTTTGCATGTATGTTATGATTATTACGGGGTGGGGGCGGAAGAGAGGGGAGAAAGAAACAGAAAAGTAACTTGTAGACTTTTTTTCTTTTAATTTTTTGGCCACGCTGCGTGGCACGTGGAATCTTACTTCCCTGACCAGGGATCGAACCCATGCCCCCTGCAGTGGAAGCGTGGAGTCTTAACCACGGGACTACCAGGGAAGTCCTAAACTGGTAGATCTGAAAGGGAGTTCATTGTTGACTAAAGTTTGGGGCCTGATGGTACCTGAGATGATTTTAGGACTTAACCTGGCAAAGGTAACAAAGGAGAGAGGTGACCTCCCTTTCAAGGCAAGAGTGTCTCGGGCAGGACTTACCGTGTTGCTTTCAGGATGGTGATTGTTATTGTTTCCTTCTGGTTATAGCGAGGGAAGCTGGTTTTCCACTTATAATCACCATCTTTTAAATACATTTACTAAACGCAGAATGTGTCGATTAAAGAATAGCAGGTAGAGAATGGTTAAAAAATGCAGAATTGTGACTGTGGCTCTAAATGACTGGGCCTGGATGTGCTCCAAACCTTCCATTATACTGAAGATGGGCTGAGGCCACGGAAGGGGTGGGCTTGAGCCGAGTCCCAAGAGGGAAAGATGGGTGGTGGGGATGGTGTGTGAGTGCCTTGGAGAATGAGAAAGACAGAGGATAAGTGACAGTGAGGGATGCAGGAGAGAACTTCACCTACATAGACTCTTCCAGGGGGAGCCGGGGGCAGGGCAGGCGCAGGTGGGGGCAGAGGAGCCCTGGGCCTCGAGCTCCTGCAGGTGCAGCCAGCCTGCCTACCTTGGCTCTCCCTCTGGGGAGGGGGCACAGCACAGGCACTTCCTGACCCTTTCTCAAGACCAGAGGGAGCTCAGGACTCAAGCCAGGGGCCAAAATCTGGCTGCAGCCACGGGGGGACCTTTTTAAAGATTCAGCTTTCAAAACTTCTGATTCATTTCCAAAGGTTTGCAAAAACTTCCCGAGGTCTCAGAACTTGTTTTTGCTCATCAAGAAGAGCACCAGGGACCACTTCCTGCCTCGTGACCTGTAGGTTTCCATCCAACCCAAAGGGAGGCGGAGAAACAGGGGGTGGGAGGGGGATGGGCACTGTTTGGCCTGAAGTGAGGAGAGAAGAGAGAGGGCTTGTTCTTCGGGTCCAGGGGAGACAGAGAACGAAGGGCCAGTTCAGTAACTCCAGGAGGGAGTTCGGAAGGCATCCAGAAAATATTCTCAATACAAATGAATAGGTGACAGTCGGCAGGTCATCTGGTAAACCTGCCTAAGCTCTGAAGCCAGGGGCTCAGCCAAGTCACTGCTGGAAGCTTCTAGTGTACACAGAAGTCTGGATGGAAGGGTAGTGAGGAGGTGCAGAGAGAAGAGAGCCTTCCTGAGACTGCCCTGCAGGCTCTCCTCTGCATCTCATTCTCCTGCTGGGCCTCCCAGCACATTGGGGACATGGCTGCAGAGGCTGGGAGACAGCCCTGCTTCTGAGGAAAGGGTCTCTCCGGAGACTGAAGAAAGGACGTCTCCAGGGACTGGGTGGCGAGAGTCCTGCCCGGGCCTGGGGGTGGGTGGGAAGCTGTGTAGCTGAATTTAAGGGGTCCCCTGGGGAACACCAGGTAGAACCTGGGGGAGATTGCAGACACCGCCCAGGCTGGATGTTGAGTTACCTCCGCAATTAGTGCAAGAGCCACCAGAAGCGTGAAGGACAAGCCGTTGGGGGAGTGACTACCGTCCTGGCCAGTAGGCGGGGGCAGGTGATGCGTGGGTGAGGGAGGCGATCAGCCTTGAAGCCAGTCCGTGGGGCAGTGCAGCCCGGAGCAGCTCGGCTGGAGTCAGAGGAACGGGGCGCAGCTCTCAACCCAGCGGACAAGTCAGTCCTCCGCTGTAAAGTCAAGAGATTGAGTAAGACCAGGGCTTTCAAGGTCAGCTTGTTTGCCTTGTCCAGTGGGATGCAGGATTCAGGGACAGAGGGCAGCAGGCCTTAGGCCACAGCTGCGTCTGGTTGATGTTTATGACCTACTCCCCTGTTTGGGGCCCCGGGAGACGAGCCTTGGTTTCTCTTCCTGAGGTTTGCACTAACTTGCTCTCTCTGGTTTGGTCCAAACCCCAGGGCCTATGAGCCCCCTCGGACCAGGCTCTCCCCAGGTCTCCCCACGACAGCTCCAACCCAGCTCACCTATCAGGGTCTGTACTTACCTATGACTACGATAGGAAATTCCGTAAAAACTGTTACTAAACCTGGCTCAGTTTGCGTAGCAGCCAGACACCGAGTCACTGAGGTTTGCAGCCGAGAAAGAGCAGAGGCAGCCGGACGACGAGACTGGAGAACAAACCGCAAATCTACAGCCCCGAAGGCGGGGGCCTGGGGTATTTATGGGGTAAGGAAGCAGCGTAGTCTGAGGCGTGGGGCGTGGCGGAAAGGTGATTGGAAATAAGAAAAAGGTGAGTTTCATTGTTGTTCTGAGCAGGTGTTAAGCTGTAGGCTTTTCCACGGGAGCTTGTTCAGAAGACGGAGGAGTTAGCAGTTCTGAAGGTGGCGTTTGGGGCTCCTGATGACAAAAGGTCACTAAGCAGATACTTGTGCATGCCCAGTTGGAGGGTCAGTGGTCCTAAGCAGCCTTAAGTGGCTGGGGCTTGAACTAGACACAGCTGACTCCAAGTTCCTGGAAAACAGCTAGGGCAAACATCTTATTGTTTGGGCTCTGTGACACGTGGAGGACGTTCAAGTCTTTCGTGGCAGCAATGAAAGCGAGCTTCATAGGTGAGGGCAGGTACAGGTGCAATGGACTTAACTGGACGTCACCCTCGGCTTCAAAACCTTCATCAACACACACAATCTCACAATTTCTCCAGGAGCAAATTAAAGAGTGGTTCTGGCCCAGCATCTTTGATGAGGTTGCATCATCCAAAGGCTTGGCTTGGGGCGTGAGGTCTGCCCCCCACCCCGTGTCTCCCTCACGCGGTGGGCAAGCTGGTATTGGCTGTGGGCACGAGGCGTCAGTTTCTCCGCCCGGGGGCCTCTCCACAGGCCAGCGTGAGTGTCCTCACAGCATAGTGTCTGGCTTCCTCCAGGACCGAGTAAGGCGGAAGTGGCTTCAAAGTCACATGCTGTCATGTCCATCTTATTCTGTTGGTCATGCAGACCAGCCCGGATGCATTGCGGGAAGGGGCTGGAGAAGGTCTGAATTCCAGGATGGGGGCTCATTGGAGGCCTGGCTGCCGCAGGGCCCTCGCGGGGCTGGAAGTCTTCAACCAGATCGTTTCCTGTAACACTGACTCTTGCTGAGGCAGAGTTGAGATAATTTAGCCTTCCTGGCTCATTTAGCAAACACGTCCGAGCACTTTCTCTACGTCAGGAGAACTGGTGGGTAGGACACAAAGACCAGTAATCTTACAGACGAGTAGAGAAGGTGATGCTCACACTGGAAAGTGTTAAATGTCACAGGGGTAGCCACAGACCCCCGGTGCGGTGGGGATGCAGCGGGGGGATGGGTCTACGGGGGTGTCAGAGGCCTGCAACAGGGGAGGCCTAGCTGGGTCTGAAGGATCAAAACCGAGGGTGATCATTAACTAACTCCATCGCACCTGCCTTTACTAATCAAGGTTTTAATTGTTGCTACAAAAAACTTGCTTCTTCTCCAGGCCGCATGGAGCCTAAACAATAAGATGTTTGCTCCAGTTTTTTTCCGGAAAGTTGGAGTCAGCTGCGTCTAGTTCAGCTGGGCGAGAGTCAGCTGTGTCCAGTTCGAACTGAGCTGGTTAAGACTGGGTGGGACCGCTGACCCTTCAACTGGGCAGGCGTGCATGTCCACGTGGTGGGTGACCTTTTGAACGTGCAGAGGCCTGTAGCTTAGTTACGCCTGCGCAGAACGACCATCACCACACCTTTTCCCAATCAGCTCTCCCCACACTCCCCATGTCTCAGATCACCCTGCTTCTTTAGTCCTCATCCCTTAAGTGCCCTGGCCGCTTGCCTTCGGGGAGCCGGATTGGAGATTTGTTTTCCTATCTCCTCGCCTTGCGAATAATCCCTCTCTTTGCTGCAAACCTTGGCGTCTCAGCATTTTGGGTTGCTGTACACGGGGCAAAACAAGCCTGATTCAGGATGAGTAGGAGGTCACTAGACAGAGGGAAGGAGAGAGAGGGGGAAAGAGGGGGGAACAGCTTCCCAGGTTGGGGAGCCAGCCTGGCTGCTGCAGGGGAGGGAGGCTCAAGGTGCCGGCATTGCCGGGTTAGGGTGTCACTTTTCACTGCTCTGATTTCGGCACCTTATTTCGCATCCCTTGGACCCATGCTGTTCAGCAGGCACATGCCAACAGCTGCACTTGTTACTGCAACAAAGAAACTCACTGCAAAGTTCTCAGAGACCCAGCCCCGGAGGACCTAGCTGTAAGTTAGAGCAGCGGAGAACGACTGCAGAAATAGTTTCCTCTTGTGGAAAAGATTCACGCCCCTGCCGTGCAGGCAAACATCGTTTTGTGCCACAGGGACTCTGCCCAGTTGCTCTCAGATGGGAGGTGCGGGAGTGTGTATTTACTTGCCTGTGTGTCATTTTCCTTTGTTTTGGGCAAGTGCGCTGCCCGCTGGGATCAGGCACGCGTAGGTCTGAGGGAACACACCTGACTCAGGCCTGCCGGTCCCCGGGCCGCGTGAAGGCGGTGCTGGGTTTCCAGCTACTTCTGCTGCCCTGTAAGAGGCATGTACCTTTGACGCTACGGAAACATCACCTGCTGGCTATTTGTCTGTCCCTGTGGTTTGTGACATTTGTCCCGTGTGGGTTTCACTGCTGGCTGTCTTGGGCCACATGTTCCTTTGGGGCAGAGACTCTGTGCGAAGGTGCCCCCCGCCCCCGTCCCTTGCCTGGAAGGCACTGAGTACAGGCCCTGGAAACGGGAGAAGAGCAGGAAGAAAGTGGGGGCGAGGGCTCCACCCTACACCTCATTCGCCTGTATCTGCAGCGTCGACCTCGGGGAACTGCCTGCCCTTCCCCCTCCCTCTCTTCCCCGTCATCACAGCTTCCACGTGTTTTCTCTGACAATTGGGTGAAGAGCCGAGCGCTGAGCATCACACTTGGAGATGGTCCGAGATGAACATCCAGGTGGGCCCGCGGGGGTGCCTGGTAGGGAGAAGGTGGACCAGCTTGAACTCGATGCTCGGCGGTTGGCGAAGGTGCGCGATGTCAGCTAACAGCCTTTTTCCAGTCCTGGGGCAGTTTCTAGGAGCGGAGGGGGGCCTGGTGTCAGCCTCTCAAGTCACGTTCAACGGGCAGCTATAGCCCGAGCCGCTGGAGGGGAGAGAATTACTTCAACCAGAGGGCTGCAGCCTGCTCCTTCCTCATCCCGTCCCCCAGCGCTGCCGGGGAGGGGTTATTGGCAGCCCTGGGCCTCTGCCCACGGGGCACGGAGGAGAGGCCCCGCTCGGACTCCAGGCAGAGACACAGAAGAGGCAAGGGCCTCTGCCCGGGGCTGGTCCACCCCTGCTCAGCTGGGACAGAGGCAGCTCCAGCCCAGACTCAACAGGGGTGGACAAACGGCAGTTCAGAGCCCCTCTCACCCAGACTGCGGGCACCTCGGGCACATGCCTGCCTTAGATCCTGAGCCTTCAGGAGCTGGAGGTGCGGCTGCCCTGGGTGGGCGGGGCCTGCGATTAGAGCCTGAGACCTGGCCTCTGGGTGCACAATGTCCCCGAGCAGCCGTGGGCTGAGAGCGAGGGCTCCTGGCCCGGTCGTTCAGGCAGACAGGCCTGAATCACTGCGCTAGGTGCTCGCCGGCAATGTGTGTAGAACGTGTGCTCTGTCACCCCAGTTTTGATCTCTGTAGACAGTCTTTGGAGGATGTGTGCTCCTAGTGGCACATTGGGACTGGGTAATTATTTTCTTTCTCTTAAAAAAAAAAAAAAGACTTAATTTTCTTAGAGCAGCTTTAGGCTCACAGCCAAATGAGGTGGAAAGTGTAGAGTTCCTGCATCCCTCGCCCCTCATACCCACGGCCTCCCCCACCATCACCACCCCCACCAGACAGCACATTTGTTATAACTGATGAACCTGCATGGACACGTCATCCTCACCCAGAGTCTATTGTTGACATTAGGGTTCACTCTTGTGTTGTATATTCTGTGGGTTTGGACAAATGTATAATGACGTGTATCCATCGTTACAGTAGCATTCAGGGTAGTTTCACTGCCCTAAAAACCCTCTGTGCCTCACCTATTTATCCCTCCCTCACCACTAACCCCTCAAAATCAATGATCTTTTTACTGTTTACATAGTTTTGCCTTTCCCATAACATCAGTATAGTTGGAATCATACAGCATGTAGCCTTTAAGTTTCCTCCATGTCTTTTTCATGGCTTGACAGCTCATTTATTTTTGGCGTTGAATAATATTCCACTGTCTGGATTCACTGTAGTTTATTTATCCATTCATCTACTGCAGCACATCTTGGTTGTTCCCAAGTTTTGGCAATCATGAATAAAGATGCTGTAAAAGCATCCATGTGCAAGTTTTTGTGTAGATGTAAGTTTTCAACTTCTTTGGGTGAATGCTGAAAAGCATGATTGCTAGATCACGTGGTAGGTTTTGTAGTTTGGTTAGACTGCCAAAACTGTCTTCCAAAGTGGCTGCACAGTTTTGCCTTCCTGCCAGCAATGAATGAAGGGTTCCTGTTGCTCCACAGCCTCGTCAGCATTTGGTGTTGTCAGTGTTTTGAATTTGGGCCATTATGATGTTGAATATCTTTTCATATGTTTGCCACCCGTGTATGTTCTTTGGTGAGCTGTCTACTCGTCTTTTTAAACTGGTTTGTTCATTTTCTTATTGCTGAGTTTTAAGAGGTTCTTTTTAAGAGGTTTTTTGTTTTTTTGGTATATTTTTGGGTAATAGTCCTTTATCAGATATGTCTTTTACAAATACTTTCTTCCAGTCTGTGGAGCCTGTGGGGTCTGAGATGAGGGTATTCTCATTCTCTAGAGGCAATTTCTTTTTTATACTTTCCTGAGTTATCGAAATTTTCCATGATGAAAATGTATGATTTTATTTATTTATTTATTTTAGTTTGGGCTGTGCTGCTGCGCTCGGGCTTTCTCTAGTTGCGGCGAGCGGGGGCTGCTCTTCGTTGCAGTGTGCGGGCTTCTCATTGCGGTGGCTTCTTTTGTTGCGGAGCACGGGCTCTAGGCACATGGGCTTCAGTAGTTGTGGCTCATGGGCTCCAGAGTGCAGGGTCAGTAGTTGTGGCGCACAGGCTTAGTTGCTCCATGGCATGTGGTATCTTCCCGGACCAGGGCTCGAACCCGTGTCCCCTGCACTGGCAGGCGGA